GCTACTCGATGGCTGTAGACTAGATCGTAACAATTAGGTTACAACTGCGAATCATTAATAGACTGCGGATTTTTCTGCAAACGTTCTTTTCTTTGTGTTGTTCCCTAAATGTGGCGATTAAACCTGATTTCGATCATTGTTACATTAATCATATGTGAATGAAACTGTAGCTACGCAACGTTAGTTAACGTATAATTATATAAACACTAGAACCACCGGATTATTAAAGTGATACATTTCTGGTTCCTTCTGTCAAGGCTATTGGAAAGACGGACGCTTTTCTGAGAAAGTGTTAAATGAATTGATTTGGATACATTAAAGCTGAAGTATAAGTGAATTTCGATTTCATTCATTTCGATTCCAATGTATCCTTATAAATTGTACAATAAGATAGCGAACAGTCGATGCTGCTACTCGACAGTTCTAGTGTTACGTTAATTTAAATATTTATGCGAGGGAAGTCAAGAATTGGATAAAATATTCATCGTACTTAACTTTCAACATTCGCATGTCTCGTAAATTCATAAAATCCGCAGTCTAATCGTAAGTACAGAAATACTATGTAAGAAGATATTCATTGTACCGTAGATGAACGGCTTCATCGTAATATCAAGAAACAGCCGCCAAAACAAGAGAAAATCGTAATTACTTCGATATTTCGGTTAGAATTAATTCTCGTAAGTATTTAAGTACTTCGTTCAATTTTGAATCGCTACTTAATTGAACCGACAAACGATCAGACTATTATCCCTCCGCCTGGATAACGTACATGACAAAGTAAACAAGAAATAAATAAATATCTTATCAGAATATATACTCGATACGTAATATAATAAAAAAGAAACAAAAATGACTAGACGTGGACTAGGTAAGTAGAATTAGAGGAAAGTAAACCTGTGCATTGAACCGGTCCAGATGATCTCCCGTTTCTTTCGACGTTGAAAAAGAATTCGGTCTTACCAATGTCGCCGCCATTTTCGCCTTCTCTCTACTCGCGTTTGTTTGTTTGGATAATCACAGCCTAATTGACATTTCTCGGGCGATGCGTGTCCGGTCAATCGAAAAATCAGAAGGACTTGAATGAACTGTTCGAGGTCACCAGGATTGAAAAAGCGACAGGACCTCGATCCATTTCGATCGCGAAGCATTGCGATCCGCTCGGATGATCCTTCGTCAGCAAAAGAAATCACGGCCGGAATATCGCACGCTTGTTTCGCACACAATGTGAATGGTAATCGATTATCGTGATCGTAGTAATAATGATGATGGCGATGACAAGGGTAACAATAATAATGAGCTCTACGCACACGTAAAACGAGCGCTGTGACGTGGACGACCGGACTTCAAGATTCAACTTCGCTTTTTTCTTTGCCACGGCACCGACGATTCTGTTTAAATATCATATATAAAAAAAGAATATATAAGTAATATACAAGAATATATATAAGTAAGAAGAACCGATAACCCGCGAATGTCGGGTCGGCACTGATTCCATGTTGTCACATGTGTACGTATATTATGTGAGTGTTCTTCCGCATGCGCGCTCGAATTATGCACGGTGTATGCAGGTAAACGTGTATTCTCTTACGTCTTTGTTCGTACCGTAGCTTCGTGTTTTAGAAATGTTTTTCTCTTCTTGTTTTGTTTGTAGACGTTGCGTAAGACGAGCACCCTGTATATGTGATTGACAAGTTTGCGTTTAAGTTAGACTGCGAATACTGCGTCTTGTCCGAGGACCGTCCCAACACGGGAACGGTCGTAATGATTGCGCTGTAATCGGATATTAACAGCGATCGGCGCGTTCCTTGGCTAAAGCTGAGAGAGTTTCTGCTAGACTCAACGTTTTAGTTTCTTTATCCTTCATGTCCGAAATGAAAGCCAGCGAAGTTGCTCGTGAACCGAATTCTTTGTCCGTTTCTCCATGAGTCCGAAGAGTTCCGTCTCTTTCGCTCTCCCTGGATCAAGATACTGGTTTAATAGTTAACTTTTCAACGGTCGCCATGCCGTTGTCTCAGGAACTAAGAGTGTTCTTCAGCGATTATTGGAAGGTCACCCGTCTTGAACGTTTTATAATTATTTAAACTAGGACTAAACGTGTCATCGGAATGATAATCTGAACGAGAGACACCAGGCTCTATCTTGACTAGGCTTCGCGGATGATCAGACCTTTTCGGATCGCGCCGGGACACCTTAGGTTAAAGATGGATCGTTACTTGATACTGTTCACGTTTGGCAGTATGGTTCGAGAATGAAAGAAAGGAAAAGATGCGTAGAAGATCGAAGAAGAGATAGTTGGGCGCGAAGAGGAGTGTGAAGTGATAACCGTTTCTCGGCGGACGATTCTATTTGGTCTGAACAT